AATTTTATCATAACGAGTTTGCTTGAATTTCATTTCTTCTGAGATCGCAGCAATGTGCAACGGGTAAGCTAATTAAAATAATAATAGAAAATGTATTTTTATATCTGAAGTAGTTATCTTGACTATTGTCTTAAATAAAAAAAGAACTAGTGACCAATCCTATAGTTTAAATGACTTTTAACAAAATCTTCAAATTAAAAATATTAATCTCTGGTTTACAATTTGTTAAACAGATTAAAACTAATAGAACTGTGCTTTAAACATATGTAAAATGGGAGATGNAATATTAATCTCTGGTTTACAATTTGTTAAACAGATTAAAACTAATAGAACTGTGCTTTAAACATATGTAAAATGGGAGATGATGATAAATAATAATAATTTTTTAAATTCTTTAGTTATTTAAAAATTAATACTCTACAGTAAATTAATTTAAATTAATTATATTATATGATGATAAGTAACTAAAATTTAGCCGAGACTATAATATAATAAATTTAGCTAACCTAAATTTATTTGACAGCTGTTTCACTATATAAATAATAAAAGCAGCTAAAGTACTTTGAAATATTGATGATATATTCCTTACATTATTGAAAAAATAATGAATTTATTATACAAAACTTCATATATCAAATACCTTTCTAACATATTTCTTATTAATTTTATTATGCTGTATGAAATTAGACCATATTGTTAAAAAAAATATATATTTATTTATTTATTTGCTGTTTAATGCATTTTTAGGAAAACCAGGTAAACCAGAGGGACCACTACAAGTAAGTGATGTTAATAAGAATGGATGCAAGTTGAAATGGGATAAGCCAAAAGATGATGGAGGAGAACCAATAGATGGTTATGTTGTTGAGAAACAAGATCCAGATACTGGTTCATGGATACCTATTGGTAAAACTCATGCACCAGAAATGGAAGTTACTGGTTTAACTCCTGGAAAATCATATAACTTTAGAGTAAAAGCTGTTAATAAAGAAGGTGATTCAGAACCACTTGAAACAACAGAACCAATCACTGCTAAAGATCCATATAGTAAGTAACAATTAATTAAAAGCAATATAATTTTGATTATTTTTATTGTTATTATATTAAATTTCTCATAACTGTAAATTACATTTATTTTTAACAAAAAATAAAATACTATATCTTTTATATTTAAATAATTTTTAAATGACTACATTGTTATTATATTAAGATCCTCCTGAAGCACCTGGCAAGCCAGAACCAACAGACTGGAATCGTGATCATGTTGACTTGAAATGGGCTGCACCTGATAAAGATGGAGGTGCACCAATTACCCATTATATTATAGAGAAAAAAGAAAAAGGAAGTCCACGTTGGGAAAAAGCTGCAGAAGTTCCAGGTGACCAGACTAAAGGAACAGCTCCTTTCCTGGATGATGGAAAAGAGTATGAATTCCGAGTTATTGCTGTTAATAAAGCTGGACCAAGTGAACCAAGTGAAACATCAAAACCAATAGTAGCCAAGCCAAGATTCCGTAAGTTTTAAAATTAATTTAGAAACTATAACAAAAAATTAATTAAAGATAATTAATTAAATTGGATTTATTTTATTGCTGTTACTTTCCCCACACCTCGGATTTAGAGTAATTTTTTTCTTGACACTATTATTTAACAGTAATGCAAACCTTATAAAATCTGTATAATAGCATTTCACACAACTGTACATTGAAGATTATGTTGTTTTATTTAATTTAAAAATAAAACTTGTTATAGGAAAAGAAAGTTTAAAAAAAGATACAATTAAATTAACTGTAATGTTTGGTTAACAAAAGATATTAAAGACATTTACAAATAAATATTAAATAAAGATTACTGAATAGATATTATTTCTATAGTTCTAGCTTTATCTAGCCCAGTTAATGTTACAATATCAATTTTGATATAATATTTTAAAGATCTTATATATATTAATATGATAGGAAAAATGCAATACAATATCAATGCTGCAATGAGACTTACATGAATAAAACTAAGTTATATTTTTTAATATTTTTTTATATCATTTTCTTTATCCCTTCTTTGTATGTTGTATAAAATATACTGTATGTCAAATTCTGATTGCTCAAATTTAGCAAATGAAATAACTATAAATCACTTTATTCTGAGATTGAAAACAAAATGGAAAGGTTACTCACAGATAATAAAATACTGGTAAGCACTTAAATGAATGCATATACTAAGTTGTAGTTTTTATTAGGTTTAAAAAGTCATAAAATATGTATTCTAAAACAGTGTTGTCTATTGTGTCTTTTTCATCTTGTAGCTGTGCTGTTAATTAGTGTGTACATATTGTTAGAGGGCAACTATTATTTCTGTTCTTTGGGAATTAGGTGTAAGTGTTATTTGAAGACAACTATTAATGGAATAAATGAAAAAAAATAATAAAGTTTTCACTTTATTATTCAAACAACAATGCAATACTCAATACATGGTACAAGTGACTGCTGAAAATAATTTTCAATTTTTCAGTTTCATAAAACCTTATCTTCCTCCAATAGATAACATGCTTACTATTATAGTGTACTGTTTATAACTTTTTCATCTTACTGCTGTGCTGTTTATTAGAATAAATATGGAATATGCCTGATTCTTATAAATTAATAATATCTTTGTAGCTAAAATAAAAGTAAATAAAAAAGGAAATAGAGAGAATAATATGAGAAATACAGTATATAAAAATGAATAGAAGGAATTTGGATTTGTGAATGAAGAATATATAGAAAATTTTGTAGTATGATTAATAATTAAACTCAACTAAATAAATTATATAAAATCTCATTTTCTTTTATATATATTTATTTATTTATTTGCTGTTTAATGCATTTTTAGGAAAACCAGGTAAACCAGAGGGACCACTACAAGTAAGTGATGTTAATAAGAATGGATGCAAG